GAACTTCTCTGGAAATGTGTTCTTTATCCAAAACCTTAATATAAAGCATTATAAGAACTAAGAGAAATACTGTGACATGCACAAAAAAGTAAATTAAGAGCAGCATTTGTGAGATTTGTGCCTCTGGATATTTTATTTATTTTAAGTTTCCTGCATTCTTGAATCTTGGCAATAGAACAAGGTATGAAAATAACAGCCAAAACCAGAAAGGTAAAAGATCCCTCAAATAATACTTTACTTTTTACAGGGAACCCCAAACATTTGTCACCTTACCTGAGTGGCTCAAATACCAGACAGAGATGTTGTTTATGGTAGAAATGCCTGAACAACCGTAGACAATGAAACTTATCATCGGGATCTGCATCATTGAGCTTCTTCAAAAATTCCAGTTCTTTAAGGCCAGTTTTTTGCCTGAAAACAAAGGTATATAACTATAAAACAAAATCAGTGAAATTCTAATTTATTTATTTTTTAAATCTAAGCGTTCACTTGCATAGTTACAATTATCTGCAAATGAGAAGCATCTTCATTACTGAATGTACCACAACTTTAAAAACCAAAACACACCAGTGGTCTGATGTCAGCGTCTAAACACTGGGTGGGTTTATTTAATTCTTTGGTCTTCACTGTGCGTTTGTAACCTACTTTTCCTTTCCTACTCCCTCCCAGCTGCATATAAAGTTAAAATTAGATTTTCTCCTGTAATACCACACTTCAGTTTCAAACAGCACTCGAGAAGTTTAATTTTTTTTAAAAAGTACTTAACCATGTACAATATTAAAAAGAGCTTTAAGTTAAACTGACTGTAGAGCCACGTACACACTCAAACTGATTATCTATACAACATATCAAACAAATAGCTTATTGCTGTTGCCTCCCCCCTTTTTTTTTTAAAAAACTTTTCTAGCTACCTATTCACATAACTCAGAATAACCCAGTTAGACACACAGCAAAACAATGTTTAGGACTTCCAAGGTATGACACATAAAAAAGATTTTAATTTAATTTGTCTTTAACGGAAGAGGACTTCATATATGACAGTAGAAATACTGAAAATTAATGTTATGGACAAGTCCTCACATAATATAGTTTAAGAGATCATACTTGTTAATGTTCACTCGTTCTGAAAGACCTCAAGTTGTATTTCAACAGGAAGAGTCTCACGTCTATTCATATATATTATATACATGCCAATATAGAGAGAATATACAAAAATAATTCATGTACAGAGGTCTTTTTTTAAAATTGCAAATGACCAATTAGGATCCAAGCCACAGCCTGCCAAATTGATTTGGTTCATCGAAAGGAGATTTTTTGCAGTGCACAACTCCCATGTCAAATTTTAGGGCTGGGCAGGCCTCATCGTTAACTGTAACCTTGTTCCTCACTACCACTGTTCCCTGCGGTTTTGCAGATGAGAAAGTGCCTGATGAAAATGCAAGTACCCTTCTCCTGTGAGAGCTGTAAAGAAGTGTGGATACATAGTCCTCAAGCGCTTCCCATTATCTGGCTCATATTAGCAGAAAAGGCAGGAATCACAGCTGTAATCTGTTACTTCACTTGAAACAAAGGGAGATTCAAATCACATCATGAAAAACTTCCAACTGTCACGTCTGCTTTATTATTAGTGAACAAAAGCGTTACTTACATAAGTTCATTATTCCTGATGATTTTAACCGCTACTTCTTGGTTTGCTCTTGCCATGTCCCTGGCTCGTACTACGTTACTGAAGACTCCCTGACCAGTGTAACCATAGACATTGTAACGTTTATCTAGAACTTCACCTATATTAACACCTGAAGGATAAAATCAAGCAATTTAAACGTTACCAGTGATGTACATAATGAAACTTTCAATGAAAAATAAACCATTCTGTATAATTCAGAAAGATAGGATGAACGGTATAATCGCTTCATTTCACAGTGTGCACTGTTACATATCACCTGGCTGTGTGGAAAATACGGGGAACAAACCTATCCTGTAAGTCTAGAGTCTTTTCATAACTGAGCTTAGAACCCACACGCTCATTTCACCCACGACTCTGTGCACTCAGCGAGGGCACCGTGGTACCTGTACCCAAGAATGATGTTTCAGTACTTTCACACAAGCATCTTTTCCATTCAGCACCCTCACTCTAGCTGTCCTTGCAAATCAACAAATACCACTTACGGTAGTAGCCTTCTGCATCTGTCCAGTTATCCCTGAGATTGGGGTTTTCTTTGAAGTCTTTTCCAAACCCAGCAGCCCTTAGACGAGCACTCTGAAATAAAAACAGGGGGTTTTGTGTGCTTTATGTATTTCCTTGATGTTTACTTATCAAAACCCATTTTTTTCTTACTGAAACACTATTCCTCTTCACCGTACAAACACACTTCTCATAACTACTGAATGCAAAATGCTATTTATGTACCAATATCTAAAGGCTGATGCAAGCAAAGCAGGTGAAATCAACCATTATTAAAAATAAATGTACAAAGTTTCAATTAATACTCACAAGGAATTTATGTTAGAATGCACATCCTGGACCATGTGAATAAAACTTTACTTACAGTACATTTGTAGTAAAAAAGTTGCAAGGAAAATGTAACCGTTAAAGCCTTGAATTTCCATTCATTCCGTGCAGCCTCAGGGATTTCATACTTCACACTTACAATCATAAAGTTCCTACAATTGCTGCTGATATCTCCTAACAGATTTGGGAATATATTAGCAGAAATTCAAATCTACGAGGAGTAAAGAATACCTTTAATTGACCAGGAGTTTCTGGAAGAGGGAACTGCTCACTTAAAAGCCATAAAACCCCTACTTGTAACTTTCAAGTTTTTAAAAACACACTCTCCACACTATCCTTCAAGTATTTCTCTTTTTCCAGGTCAAGGGGGGGTTGATTTTTTTTTTTTAAATTTCACTATCATTACCAGTTTTACTAGAGTGACATCATGGCAGGCTTTTGTCACCAGTGCTTGTGTCATGACTAATGGATTATATCTGCCATAATAAACGAAAATTAACCAGAGAATTTCTAAGTTGAGAAGAAAGTTACTTTGTTAACTTATTTCTCAGTGTTGGGCATTGGCAGCAATGAGGTAGATTTTCAGAGAATGGCAAGTAAAGTCTCAAAACTAGTCACTGGACTGCACTATTTGCAGGCCACTTCAGCACATTTACAGAATAGCTGCTGGAATAGTGCAAAAGTAGAAACAAAATGTATCTTTTCATGAAAAAACCAACAAAACCCCACCTCACCAAATGAACCACCACATTACTCTGATACAGTAGCACCATTAGCAAATTAAAATATCTTACACAGATGCTTTCTAATTAACCATATATGAACCTCCCCCCCCAAAAAGCACATGTTTAGAACAGTGCAGCATGGTAACGTTAACAGAAAGTTTGATTTACAAATAGGTTTGTTACCATATGCCGCTATAGATCCTATTCAAACAGCAGCGGAACTTTGCAATTGCTTACTCTGGTAAAACTCCTGCTAGTTTCAGCAGATTTTCTTTCACTGAAATACTAATTAAGAATAACTCTGTCTGCCTTGGCTGATCAAAAGATTCAGAACACACTATCCACTCAATTACACATGCTTTTACAAACCAACGTTCCCACAAACCTTAAGTGACAGTAACTCTACCAAAAATCAAGCAAAAAAACCACCCCACATACGTTTCATCTCCAAGAATTACCTACATCAAAGTATGCAGCGAACATATCATCTGATTCTGTGAACATATCAGGAGCTAGCAGTTTCTTCTGAGCTGAACCTTAAAATGAAATTGAGATTACTCAACATGAAAAAGATAACAAACCAATATCTCTTACCAGTGTAAGTTGTCACCTGCTATCTTGACAATATAGTCTAAGATTCGTATGTGGGCAAACAGGTAGTACTACTCATGTTTCTAGCAAATATCAGTTTACATTCTAGAAACAAAACTCACATTGGTTAAGCTCTTGAAAGCGCTCAAAAACGTATACCTCCTTGAAAAATTAAGTATAATCGCTTTCAAATAATTCACATACCAGAAAGGAAAAAAAGTACATACTTACATGATTCCTACAGAAAATTACTCTATATGTATAAAAAGAAATATAAAATGACTGTGTGTTTATAGAAAAAAAATTACAGATATGTGTCCAATATACAAGTTCAGGCTTTTCTGCTAACCACAAGGTATTTTTACTTAAAGCCAAAGTTGTAAAGCTTAGAAGCTGTTTCTCTGGAAAATGATTTTCTTCAGCCCTGTAAAAATGGACCTTATGTGCAGCTTTTAGTCAAAGATAATGTGTACTACTACGTTTAAGAGAAACATTTTTAATGTGGGCAAGATTATCCCTTTCTCACCTTTTAATCATCTTTAAAGTCCCAAAGATATTTTACTTGGTTGATAAAAGTGAAGAAATATAAAAAAATTAAGTACACGTTAGTGAAACCAAGTAAACTTCAAACTATTTCACAACACACATCACTGAAGCCTCCCTTCATGACCACGGGAAATCAGACACTGCCTTTAGGGTATTAAGCAATGGAGAAAAAGAAATGGTCAACTCCTGGTGCTTCAGGTCTCATGATGCACATGGCCAACCACTGTAACACAAAATAACTAGACTGAGATCTTCTGACAGCACCAAAACCCCCTCATCCACCATGCTGACACCACTGTTTCCAAGTAGAGACCCTTGCAGCAACTTCCTTTTCTCTTAGTTCTAGTTACTCACACTTGCACCGGACTACAACGAGTTATTAACTAGTTCCTTAGCTTACTATCCCGGCCCTGTATCAGGTCAGGATATAAATAAATGGCTCTTCCCAACAAAGATGTTTCCACCTGTTGTTATAGCCACCTCCAACCCAGAATCCTACCAATGCAGGAAAATTCCGAAACTTGAATGCAACTGATCTGTTTTTAAACATAAATCCTTTTCATACCTTAAAAAATGTCTATGTAGTTAACAGTTATATTTGCATATACTTTAGTGGACAGAATTAGAAAGCAGGATATGTCTTGACAAAAAGGAAAGAGATACTGTCTGTTACACATAAGACAACTAAGCCTGAACTCGTGGCATGCAAATAAAGGAAAAGTGCATTAAGACAGCTCCTTCCACCTACACTGCAGGAGAACAACCTGAAAACATCCTGCTCAAGGGAACACCAGGACAAACTACCGAGGAGCGCCATCAGTCCCCCAGAGCTGCAGCTTGATTACTTCAAAGAGAAACATCCGCCAGAAGGCAGCATGTTAAGCCCCCAAGGACACATGTAGCGCAGGATATGAAATACAAGCTAACCATCCAACTACCTCCTGAGGGGCCGGGCAGGTTTCAGAGCCCTTGTTAAATCGCGTGTTGTTACAATATAACTGCAAAGAGAAACTGAAGTAGTTAAAATTAGCTCAAGTGTGACCACTCAACTAGACACACCTTTGGCTACTTGGAAGATGTAACAGTAATTCACTTTCAAAACACACAAAAAACCAAAACTCAAATGGATTTTCCAATATTACAGTGTGGACGGGGAGATGCTCTATGTTCCTTTTGCCACAGCAGGAAAAAGGCAAGTTTTGTATCAAGATGTATCTCATTTCAGTATTGCTGTACAACAGATTATGTGCAGGGAAGAAGAGGAAGAAACAGCCATTTCCTCAGCAAGAAGTTACGCTGCCAAAATGGGCTTAATAGCGAGGGCTCTCAAAAGCCTTATTCATTCCAAATGCCTGCAGACCCACCTATATTCTTCTAACACATTGACCTGGACTAAAAAAGGCATAAAAGAGGCATGGCTTCCAACTCATTCCAAAATAAAGACTAGGATATTAACCTTCTAAGAAAACAACACGCATAAGTGAAAAGAAAAATTTCAAAGTTGAAAAGGGTGATTCTTAACTATAAAGACAGGCATTGTTACTTATTCTTCCAAATGTATAGCATGAATTGTGTTAAGATTCATTAGAAATACAGAGGAACTTTATTTTAATGTTATAAGTACAGTAACATTTGTGCAAACATTCTCAAATTCTGTCTGAAAAGTAAATCTACTTCCAAATCTGGAAGTATATAAGGAAGTTAAACAAAATGTCTGAGCTTTCATAAACTGCATTATACTGTGAGACCTCAGATTCTTACCGTTGTTCTGTTCAACTGTCATGAGGTTGTGCTTGGCTTTTACTGATGCCTCAAACGTGTCCACGTTTTCCCGTTCGTACTCCTTAACATCAGCAGCTACTCTTTCTAGGATGTCATCTGGCGAATTTGATCGACTACGGGTACTGCTCTGAGGACTGCTTGGTTCAGACGGTACAGATATATTGCTGTCTTCTGTCTGGCCTTTGTATTTCTAAAAAGAAATTTGATTATAATTCCACCGTCACAGCTTACCACAATTTAAACATTTTTAAAAATTCACCCTTTCAGTGGTTTGTGCTAAACCTTAATCTTTGCTTCTATAATCGCCTACATCTCTATTATTTGCAGAATGGGATACAGCTTTTGAAAAAACATTTTGCCACAATGTTCCACAACCCGGATCATAATTTAAGACTGAAAGATTCACACGTGTCCTTTAGGCTTTTACATTTCTGTAAAAAACAATTTTTATCAAAGATTAACTGTTTTGCTGTGTGTGACAATGTCAGTAGCAACAGATTTATCCCCGAACAATCTTAAAGGCCTTTTCCAACCTACGCAATTCTGTGATTCTGTAAACCATTCTGGCACACAAGTATCGAAAAAAAGTTTTAAAGGAACAATTAATGATTTTCTATCTTACATTATTAGTGTTATGGTACAGAAAAGTAGTTTTTAGATTGCAGTAGTTTTTAGATATGTGACCGAGACTCCCGGAAGGGAGCAGTGGCCTTCCAGGACTCTCGGTCACATATGACCTCTCACTGCTGTTCCTTTATTACCAGGAATAAGCTGATGATGGGAATGTAAGTGAATACTTATCCATGTTCATGAAGGGGGAACCCACGGCAATGGCTTTATGAAGTTTGGAAATGGGCAAGGACAACTTGAAACAAACTCATCAGTTTGGCTAATTGATACATAACACTACACCGACATTATGATATCAATGATACAGCTACAAAGACAACCTGCAGATTAAGATAATTAAAGAACATTTTTTACATGTCACAGGATTGTCAGAGAGCACTCAACTGTAGCACAAAAACTACTCACAGAAGAGTTGCTTCAGTATTACAAGTAATGCTGTTGCTACAGAAGAGTAGAGTTTAACTAACATTTACAATAAAAAAATACAGTAATAGCAATTACGATTGTAATGTAGCAGGCCAAGAGTCTTCATTTATCGTACCATCTTACATGAAAACCAGAAAAGTAGTTTCTGTAAGCTACATCATAATGGAGACATGTACCTGAACAATTGCTTGCCGCTGTAATCTTCTTTGTCTTATCTCTGCTTCCTCATCCTCTTCTTCCAAATCAAAGTCTTCAAGACTATAAAAATGTGATTTTTTTTATATAACTTCATAAGCATAAGATTATCTATAAAACTTTACCAAACACAGTATATTAAGCACATAATATCTTAAATGATGGCTGTTCGACTGACTCAGAAAGCCAAGGTGTATTAAATCCCAGTGTGTATATTTACATCTTCTCACAAGGAAAATTTATCTTTTCATATCTCATTGGGACTTTGTGTATTTAATTTTAACTGCAAACAATTAACAGTAACTATTTTTAAAGGAAAAAAAACACCCAAACAACTTGTTTATTTTCATTCCAGCATTATTCTTACTTAACGATTTGATTAAGAATGCATACGCTTGTGCAATTGGATTAAGCAGATAATTAACAAATATATAGATGATTTGCAGATACTAATTAATCCTTTCAGCTTAGTTTTTCTGCAAGCGATAAGCTTGAGGAAGCAGACCAAATATTTTCACAAGATATGGATCAAGATGAATCGAGAAACTTAACAACATACCATCCCCTGGGGTCTGCCCACTAGCCAACAGGTCTTGACATTTGCTGACTCCATCAGATCATCCCAACAGTAATTTGACAAGATCACAAATACTAAAACACGACCAAGGTTTTAGGTGATAACCCAAAAACTGCACCACAAAGACAAATGTCATTTCATTCTTGGTATCACTGGATCTGTATTTTTAGATAATCAGCACAAGTTAGAAATTAGTTCTTACTTTTCATCCGATGAAGACTCCTGTTCAGCTTTCATACCCTCAGAAAGACTACCTTTAAATTTGTCTTCTTTAACTTTGCTTCTGCTCCTACGTCTATGGCCACCACGTGACCTGGACCTCCTTCGAAGACGAGATCTACTTCTTCGGCCTCTATCCCTGGCAACAGTAAGAAGGGGTTGGGTTTTGGTTTGTTTTTTTGAAGAAAAAGGAAAAAAAAAAATCTGTTACAAAAATATAAAGGTATATAATGACTCCAAACAATAAAACTAGTGAATTCAGAGAGGACAAAATGAACTCAACTATGCTAGTAAATGTAAATGTGGACAAAAAAAAAAAGCATCATCTTTTACATATAAAACAGCAATCATTATTCTTTTAGTAATATTTTATAAAATCTATTTAAAAATGCAGTGTGTCTTTACCTCCTCCGAGGAGACCTACTCCGCCTTCTTGGAGATCGGCTACGCCGAAGCGGGGACCGAGACCTCCTTCTAATGGGTGACCGAGACCTCCTTCTGGATGGGGACCATCTACTGGGTGGGCTAACATCTTTCGATCTTTCACGTCTAGACAAAATATCATCCCTGGTCCGCGTTCTTTAAACAGAAGAAGAGAACAGTAGTAAAATCAGGAGCAAGCTGAAAACAAAAATGTCAATTCCCTCTAAAAGCTCACACGAAAATCTTATTGGTGAGGGACCACCAGATGGGCTTCTGAGGGAGGGATGGGTAAGTATTTTGCAGAGCTGGCTGCCCTTTCTGTGTGTGCCCCTCCACCCTCACGAAATATGTGACCACACAGAGGTCTAGTTCAGGACAATTCTAGGAACAGAGCTTGTTGATCACTAACACAATGCTAAGAGAGGTTGTAAAACAAAGCTCATGTTTACATCTTAAATAAATAGTGGCCTGTTTTCATGTTTGTCGAAAATGGTATTTAAACAAAAAATAAACCCTAAAAACTAACTCTTAAGAATTTTCTCAGCAACTTTACAACATAGTATTGAAGTTTAGGAGCATGCTACTCAATGACTTTAATGTCTAGTTCAATTTGGGCACTAGAACTGTACAGCTTCAACATTTTATGTATTCTAATACAGCAGCTGAAAACTAACATTCTTAATTAACAGGTAAACTAACCCTTCTTCAATTAAAAAAGGATTCAAGTTTGACACTATATACTATTCAACATTTGTTCATTCTTGTCTATACAGATACACAATTACTCAAGAAAAACAACCCTTGATGGGACAACTATAATAAAAAGCTTAATTATATTCCACAACAGCAAGACTTCAATCAAAAATTATAAAGGATAGAAGGTAAAAAAATTCGACAACCATTCTAATGAGGCTGCAACAGAAATTCTCGGAAAATATTTGCAAACCACTGTTCAAAGAAAATGTTGCTACTCTATTTCTCTCCCCCCCTCTTTTTTTTTTTTAAAAAAAAACAACCCAAAAAACAAACCACAAATTAGGACAAGTTACTTCAGGTGTTCTATCTCATCAAGGAACAAAACCTCTTTAGAGTGTTCCACCCATTCTGTAATGGTTTTTTGCTTGTTTTGAGACCGTTATATGAGCTTCAGTTACCTCAGCTATCCATAGAAGGCAGAATGCCTGCAGATGCAAAACAGTAAACAATGGGACACAAGGAAAATTTATGCACACCCAGAAGTACTGGCAGTTTCTACAAGAAATTACTATAGACTCAAAAGCAGGAGCAGGCTGATCTCTTTAACCCATTTAATCTACATTGTGCTCTTGTGAAAAACATTAAAAAAAAAAAGTCACAGGATGAACCGACATTTCTAGGTCTCCTGGCTAACAAAGCAGATGTACTGCCAAAACCCAACCAAAGTAACTGTAAAAAAACAAATCAGTTCAAGGATCGCAAGTATGAGATAAAGAGTAGAAGCTGATTAAGAATTCATAGTAACATCATATAATGAGTAACTTCAGTCAAAGACCTGAGAAGTATCTTACACCATTAGAACACTGAAAAAAAAAAAGACTGGAAACAACCATGAAAAATAAAATTACTTGGTTAAAACTGTTCATTAAAGCTCCTGAAACTCTCTGGCAGCCTAAGTAATTAAAGGTAGTTAAAACTCCAACACAGCTGAAGTCAGTTCAGGATGTCCCACAAAGAAAGATTACTCCTGCTGATTTGCAAACACTTCCAGCAGAAAACAGTGCTTAGCAGTCCCTCACTCACATGCTGCTCAGCACAGCGTTACAGAAGTAGGAATTTGACAGCAAAATTCTACACGCACGCGTCACCTGAAATAGTGTCTAGACAACCAATTGCCACTGGCTGCGGCGTGAGCTGTCATGAGAAACAAAAACTAAAAGACGAAAAATGCTACGGAAAAGTCAAATACTGTGTCACAGAAACTTAGTGGTCGCGCCAACACATTCCTGATTCACCAGAAAGCACTCAGATAAACTCTCACACCACAGAAATTCCTGAAAGCAACAGAACTATTAACTAAGAAACAAAATAGAAGCCAAATTCCAAATCCAACCGAATGACAAAAAGGAAAACCTGAGCTACAACAAAACGTGTCCCCAGTATTGGTGGGAGTAGCAGGTAACATGGCATTTTTAACAACTAAATCTGAATTTGCATGCCTGACAGCTGGGGAGAGTATTTTCTAAAAAACTGAATACATACAGAGTATGTATATAATGGAATGCACAATCCAATTCCCTTTTTTAGCTATTTTCAGAACAAAACAAAGAGATAAACACCAAACTAGAAGACAGTTCATCCTGTAATGCATTTTTGCAATGGTTCATGACATATTTAAGTTACCTAGGAGAAGACAGACGCCTCCTTTCGGATTCTCTTCTTTTCCTTTCTGCCGATCTACTCCTCACTCTTCTAACTGGAGACCGAGTTCGAGAAGGGGATTTACTCTGTTTAGATCTACGATCGTTAAAGAGAGGGGATCTGCTTCTTCTTGACTTTTCACGTTGTTTGGGAGATAAGCTCCTTCCTTTTGGGCTACGGCCAGGCCGTCTAGGGGACCTGTTTTCTTTTCCTGAAGAAGCATCTTTAGAGGGAGATTTAATTGGCTTTTTTTCTTTATCAGTCTCTGATCTCCTAGGTTTTCTATCTTTGGACCGTGATCTTCTATCTTTGGATTTGCTTCTTAGTTCTGTTGGAGATTTAGACTTTCTGCCACGATCTCTGCTTTTGTTTTCATTTACAACTGGAGACTTTCTGCGATCTCTTGATTTACTTTTATCATCAGCCTTATTTCTATCCTCTGGGGGAGATTTAGACTTTCTGTTTTTCTCCTGCGATCGCCTTTTAAGCATTGGAGACCTAGATTTCCTTGTCTGATCTTGAGACTTACTTCTCTTATAAGGGCTTTTGGATTTCCTCCTCTCTTTTGACTTGCTTCTAGCTGTCTTCTCTTTGATTCCATCAACTCCCGCTTTGCTTTTCTTTTTGTCAGATCTGTGCCTAGTCCTTTCTTTTGATTCACTCTTACTTCCTTTCTTGGAACTAGTTTTATTGTCCACAGGTTCTAGTTTCCCCTTAGTGTTTGACTTAGCTGCAGGTCTTGTTCCATTTCGCGCTTTTTCATTTATCTCCCCCTCTTCTTCAGATCCTGACTCGTAACCTTGTAATATTAATCCCATTCCAGACTGGACTTTTCCTTCCATTAATTCATTTTCAAGTTCAGCTTTCAATAATGCTCTTTGTTTCTCCAAGTCTTCTAGAGGAGCTAAAAAATCAATTTTAGTTCTTTTAGCTGGTCCATCTTCCTTGTCAGAGGTATCAGCTACCTCTTTCCGTTTATGTTTCTTATGTTTGTGTCTGTGTTTATGTTTTTTGTCCTTATCTTCTTCTGAAGAATGTTTATGTTTCTTGTGTTTACTTCGGTGTTTGTGTTTCTTTTTTTTATGTCGGCTGTGCTTGTTCTGAGGTTGGTCTGCCTCTGATACTTCCCCATTTTCTTCATTTACGCTTTTCTCAGATGCATCAGCATCCTCGACCCTGCAAAAAAATTAAAAATTACATATCGGGACTATTAACTCACTATAGCCCTTGCTCTTGTGTTAAATTGACAGTCTCTTTTATGATACAAACTAACTGGTATTTAATTACCTGCCTTTGGTTGAATTATAAATTACAACTACTATAACTAAGTTATAACAGCAGATACATTTCCTCATGAACAGACAGCTCTGACTGCAAGAAGAAATACTACCGAAGGAGGATACAACAAACGCACTAATGAAACAAAATGTGTGGGTGAAATAAATGCTTATGCTTTTAGCTACAACACTGACAATATCTGTTAACAGCATACAACAGTGCTGCATATTTATGCATCCTGTCAGTTCATCATCTATCTTAATTGCTGCTCCACTCAGATGCCCAACCCAAGCTACGACTTTTTAAAGTGTTTTTAAATGCCAGAACACAGTTTTGCTTCAAATAAAAAAAACCCCAAACTTATTTCAAGGGATGGTGCTGACCACTTCAGGAAACCATCCTGCAAAACCTCACACAGAGTCGACCGATTCCCTTCACTGCAATTTCTTTTTGTAAGTGTACGCACCTATTAGAAAAATCAAGAACTGTTCTTATCATGCATTTTGATTATTTATGCGACACAGGGAACGCTACCAAGGAATAGAGTAAATTAAAGAAGTATAATTTCAGAGGAGCTTTCTGATAGCATGCAGCAGACTATCAGCTTCTCAAGAAAAAAGCAGTAATCTTTAGACCTGTAAAATGACACTGGCTGAGAAGCAGAAAGTATGTCTACAGCAGGTTATTAAAATAATAATGTACACTGCTTCTAAAAAAAATTAAAAATAATTTCAACTAGTCACAGCAACAAGCACTTTAAATAGCGTAACTTCAAAAATATTAACATTCACCCCAAGGCTACGCACTTATCTTCCTTAGACACTGAAACTGGCTTATTAATAGCTTTTTTACAGTGCTTAGCAAATACATCCTGATTTGGCTATGGAAATCTGTTGCCAAATATTACAGGGGCCACAGTTCGACTTTCTACAAAGTCATCTCATAGAAACTAGGTTCTGGGAATTTCTTAACTAAAACTTTAATGACTTCAGTATATCTCTTTCTGTATTCCAAGCCTCATTCATCGAAAAGAGTTCCCCCAAACATGATGGTCAGGAGCAGTGGTGGATGATGTACACAGAAACATATCCAAACTGTACCAGTTTCATATGACAGTTGTTCCTCAAGAATACTATCTAAGATCCAACAGAATAAACACATCCAGTATTCTAAGCCAGACCTAAAGAATGGCACTTGACTATGAATTCAATTAGCATCTTTCTAATTAAGAATAGGATGTTCAAACAGAACACAGTTGCTGATTCTTTCCTGCTTGAATTAATGCGAATTCTAGTACTACCAAATAATCCAAGCTTTTCTGCACCATGCACTAAAATTATCTGCTAAAACCACTAACACTTCGGTGCTCTGAAATGAGAAACTTCCTGAGTGAATGGACTGTTAAACATATGCAGTATTCGGGGACTTAAGTTAGAATGCTGTATGCTTTGTCTTTCACACTTTTACCACTAATTATGCTTACTCAAAGCATAAAGGAAGAAGAGTGTTTTTCTTAACTGCTTCCTCCGGACACTCCATACCTTTTTGACAACAGAGTATCAGAAAGAAAAAGGAGAAACTGCCTTAAAATGAATTTGCTCTGTGGTGCATTTGGCACAGAAGACATGAAGAAGAAGAAAAAAGTATTAAATCTAAAACTTTTTCAGCTTGAATTTGCAACCCAGAGCAAGTATTTCAGTGACATAAACTGACTAAAGGGCAGAGAAATGTCACAAGGAGAATTTTAAGGGAACTACACATATTTCAAGATTTTATTCAGATAAAAGATGCTGCATAAGTCCTCAATTAACAAATTAATGGTACATTGATTCATTATAAAAATATTAGAGAACAAAAATCACATCTCTTCAAGCTGCTCCAGATAAATCTTCCTTCTCTTAATAGCAGAAAGTGATATTGAAATCTATACGGAAGTTATTTTGTTATCATATATATTTGAATGTTATGTAACAATCTCACCTTGCATTCTATAAAAACAATCTGGCGGCAGCAGCAGCACCAGATAAGCTACATCACCACAGCAGTATCTCAGGCCACTACGGACTGCTAATACAACTGCCAACAACCATGAATACAACTCTTTGTATTCATACATCAGCTATAAAATTACTATTAACTTCATTAATACCCATGAAATATTGCAGAGTTCCTTCACGTACAGGAATCTATTTCAAGTAATTCCATCAAAACACAGACAAACTTTCACTTCATTTAAAAGCTTCTGAAGTGTAATGACAGGGATGAGAATTCTTTTAATGTTTCAGAAAGTGGTGAGGCAGAGAAGTACCTACATGTTTGGGAGCTACTGGCTTTACGTAGAAAAGAATTATGACATGACCTCGTTGCAGCCTCACTCTTTTTCTTTTACATTCAAGGGAAAGAATAACAGGAAGTCCATGAAGATTTGCAGAGATTTCGCCCGTTTTTTTCCTACATTGAGGCTTCCTATCATCAGTTTTACCTTATTACTCTGAGTTACGTCTCTCAATACAATTCTAAACTCTCTTCTTCATGTCCTCAAGTGTTCTACATGGCTCACACGTACCGCAAATGCTTTTCCTCATCGGTATTCTACTTGCACGATTATCCAAGAAAAAAAACAAACCAAACCAACAAGCCTCAAATCGCGACTTTTTAAGGTAGGAAAAAATAATAACACAGAAAGCTATTTAAACGGCTGTAATAGTTATATAGTAAGGAGGAGCAATAAAGTAAGCACTAGGATGTCAACTCCGGGCAGAAGTTCCAGAGAAGAAAGCGTTCGTGAGCCCGCGAGTGCCGGCAAACCCAGTCCTCACGCCGCTGACCCGGGTACCAGCGGCAGCTCGATCTTCGCTTCCCAACGGGAGCCGGGAG